TTTAAATTAGCAGTATACGACGAAAAACGACCGTATATGACGTTTTACGACATCGTATACGGCGTCGAATTTTGACGTATCCCATCGTAAACGATCGCATCTATTCCAGACAAAATACGACGTCGTATTCCTTCTCCACCGTAGACGTCAACGTATTTCGTCGTAAACAGCGTTCGTATTTTGACGTATACTACAATATCCATCATCGTAAACTGTAGTATACGGCTGTCGTAATCATCGTCCTGGGTACCTGAAAAAGTATCTTTTTCTAAAATATAGCTCGGCACAGAGTACAGCTTGAGTATGTGAAACTGGCATAAAAATCAGAGAGGGATAATTCTGCTCAATATTTACACTACAGTGAGGTTCAGTGTAAACTTATTTCGTATTCCACCAACTTCGCGAACTAAACCTACACTGATTAGGAAAGACCCATTTCCATCTTTTGTACTAGTTTCAAGTTAGTTCCTTGCTCGACTTCCAGAGAATTCTTTTGCTTGTCTCGAAAACTTGCCTTTTCAGACAATAATCAACGATATTCACAGCCATATATCATTAAAACTAAAAGGAATTGTTTTCTAAAAATAGACCAGGATCGTCCACAACTCGTGTACTTTAAACTAATATATAACGATGGAAACGGGTCATCTCTAGTGAGTGTAGATTTAGCTCACGAAGTTGGTGAAATAGAAAGAAGTTTACAGTGAGTGCTCTCCTTCATGAACATATAAAAGTTGAATATTTGATGAAAAAATAAAATTTGTTACTTTCTGATTTTATTCTTTGAACAGAAAACGTCTGCTCTTATAAAGATATCTATTAGATTATTAAATTAAAATTCTTGTTTTACTCTAATTGTTAAGTCTTTAAGTTCGTTTTTGTGTACTGTAAGTCGGTTTGAAATCGAGGAACAGCGCAAATAGAGAACTAGTCGAGGAACAGAGGAACAGCGGAATAGGGAAATACCGAACGGAATATATGTTGAAATGTCCTCTAACCTAGATGAGAGAAACGTAACAAAGGAGTTTCTATAACTTGTGAACATTACAAAATGAATCGAATATTTCGATTAAAATATAAAGTTAGTGCTTTTCTTATCTCATCCCATGGCAACTTTTCATTTTTCTATATGATATAGAAAAATGAAAAGTGATAAGATCAAAAGAGGAGAAGACTGAAAGCGGTACATTTGATCTCTATAGTTCAACTACATTTTCTTTTTTGTTTGCTTTTGAGCTCTAGAATTGCCATTTGATAGAATTCTGTTCTGTAACCAAGCAACAGAAGAGGACTATAGTTACTCAGAAAATCTAGAAAATTCGACAAACATGTTCTAAAACATCCATAAATCATGAAGAATCCGGATAGACGTTGTCGTTTCTGTGAAACAATTACTTTTGTTCAACAGCGCTATGTTCAATGAGAATAAACGCTACTCACTTAGCGCCCTCCATAAAAATAATTATCTTCGCTACCGTTGAGACGTCATTGATGAAACTTTCAGAAAATGTTTCACTAATAATCGTTATTCATTGCCGAAAATTTCAGCTCAATCCGTCGGGCGAAAAAAAGTCGACTTCAGCTCTCATAATGCTAGACTAAAATTTGTGGCATACATTAGTGCCACCATATTTAAGAATCGCTTTTCTACATCGCGGAAAACTAATGATCTTTGAAAAATTTGAAAGACATTTATATGAGTTTTAAAGAAAAATGTTCGCGTTAATCAGTAACATAAAATTTCAAAAATTCGTTCCAGTACACTGTAGAAAAAGCTATTGTTGCTTTCAATCAGGTTATATCAACAAACTTATATCACACATATCTGATGGGCCAAGAAACGCTAGAGGGAGAGAATGATTTTCTGTCCGAATACCTATATGATAACGATCTTTGTCTTGAATCCGACTTTTTTCTAAAAACGCCTTAGGAATGTCTTCATAAACAAGCTATGCCTTAAAAATGAATCCATTTTCTTGCAAAAAAGATACATCGAAAACGTTTTCGATGAACACACATAGAATAAGTCGGTTTTGTCTTACAGTGTACTAATCAAACGATAGCATTTGTTCCTGGTTGTTGAACTGATGTTCATCTTATTATGCTCAACCACAGTCTGAGATATATTCAAATTTTAACTCAAGTGGTTTTGTATCACATTGACCTTTAAACATTTTCTACTGCAATTGGATAGGCAAGATTTTTAGTTTGAGCTTAACTCTCCAAAACTTGTAAAAAATTTTAAACAAAGATATTTATTCTGTTAATCTTTTGATAGCTTAATTATACTGTATAATAAAAAAAACACAATAATCGATCGATTTATCTATTGCTAGTAGCACATGCAGACGTATGTAGTTAGAAGTCCCTTTTCCAACTGGTAATCTAGATAACAACTAGTCGTGCATCGCCCGATTACAGACGAAATGTATCTGAATTTTCTCTATAGGTGATGTTTTCTTAGGGTATCTTTTGAAAATGCTAATTTGGCTTTTGTTGGCTTAGCATGCCATTTCAGTTTCCCAATCACATTTGGTACGAGTCTCATACCCCATGTGTTCATTAATCTGATTGCTTGAAAATTATTATCGTTAGTTTTCTTGATTTTTCTATGAAGGCATAAATCAGATAACGTGTATATAGGATACAATTAGAAAAGAGTCCGCAAAAGTGGCAGAATGAATACCGTTTGTATAAATTTATATACAAACTACAGCAAAGAGTCAGACTTTTCTAGTTTATATTGTTTTTTGCAGAAAAGAGTCCAGAAATGTGTACTGCTCGACCACCATAAATATTGCATGTTTACAAAGATATACTATAAAAGTCAGATGTAGAGCTCAAGGAACTGATAGATCACAAATAATACAACTGTATCCCAATGTGTACGTTATATTCTCTCAAATCCAAAAATGAATACATCTGAATGGATTCAGTTGTTATTAGACAAACTATGATGCATTTGTTGAGTGAAGTAGTTCAGCTCGAGTACTGAATTGTGGGCGGTGGTTGCCACCATGATTTTGCACATGCGGATATGGTTTAAGGGTACCCCTCCCCCACATTTTGGACTTTCTGTAGAAATACTGTGAAATAAAAACTAAAACTCACTAAGATTTCATACTTTCAGAACTGATTGAAACTCAATGGAGCACTTTTTCGTTTTTATTTAAAGTTTTTAACTATTGCCGTTCATCAACTTCCCAGAAAACTCGTTTTCATTGTGTTACACTACGCGCCCCCTTAAATTTCATCCAATCGAGTTAAAATTTTTATCAGAGGTACTCACGGTCACAGCGCAGAGATATAATTCTAAAATTTAGACTTAAAACTTTGTTTTTGAAAATTTTTCGGTATTTTTTGTCGTCTGTAATCGGGCGATGCACGACTAGTTGTCATCTAGATTGCTAGTTGGAAAAGGGACTTCTAACTAGATACGTCTGCATGTGCTACTAGCAATAGATAAAGCCATCAATTATTGGGCGATAAATCGACAGTTGCAACTGAGCAGAAATCGAGTAATCACCCGATTACTAGATTTCTACGGTTGTTACTAAATAATTGCAATCGAGTAAAAATCTAGTAATCTAAATGAATCGGGCGATACCAGATTATTTTCTGATGTTTGAAACTAACCAAAGACATGACAGACAGATAAATTTCGAAAAATCGCAGTTTTCTTACAGGTATTCGATTACTGTTACTTTTGTTGAATTAAAAAGCACAGTTATGAATATAGTCCACCAAATTTCGAAGGGGAAGAGTGGTACAACTAGTCTGAAAGTAGAACAGGTGTTTTTTCGGACTCTTTTCCGCAGTTATTATACAAATTCATATAAAGGGGCTTCATTCTGTCATCTTTCGAGGCTCTTTCGCACTATTAACCGCCTCTTCCGAGAATTATTGTAAATAGATGTTAAGAAAACTAACAAAATAACCGGTATCACTGAACACACTCGTTAAAAATATTTTAAACTAGCTTTAACTTGAAATACTGACACCAGATAAGTGTCTTAAAAACTTAAGCAAATTCACACTATGTCATGTAATACCTTTTATGTGAAACTACTTTTTGAATTTATTCTCGCATTGCCCTAACCGCCCCCCAACGGCCACCACTCACTGCCACCACTCACCTATATTTGTATTTTGAAAATTCGCGGAACAGTCGAGGTCCTGTTTGCGGAATCCTTGTGTCACGCTTTTAGATTCAAGTGCGTGTATACATATGGTGAAGATCATTGTTAAATAAAAATCAGTCATTTATTTATTAAACAAACTTTCGATGTACAGTACACATCATCTTTTTTCAACTAAACCTAATTATACATGTATGCAATTCGCGTCAGCGCCCGAAACGAATCGATTGATTCGACATTCGATTCGGCTTTGTGTCGAATCGAATCGACCGGAATTAAATTTTAGGAACAAACTATTTTTTGTTTTTGCAGTAATGCGTGCTCGAGAGATCTGGGCACATAAATAATATGTTCTGCTCAAGTATTCTAACCTGAGATGTATTTTAGAGAAACATTTGAAAGCAAAAGAGAAGAAAATTTTAACTTGAATCGGATTAGGTTGAATCGAAGCGACTTAAGATTCTAAAACGCTCTCCCGAATCGAATCGAATCAGGTTTTTCTGCTTCATTCAAGCTCTGATTCACCCATTTTTCGTTGTTCTGGAAAATATCTGTTTCAGATGTTCAAATGATACTGGCCGAGAAGTATTATAGTGTGTGATTTACATATCTGTTCTAAACATAAGAAACAAATATTTCCCACAACAATAAAAATACGCCAGTTTTATACATGTATGATTCTCCATGTCCTCGATTTTTTTAGCGACACGATATTACTGCGAACGATATTTCCGTGAAGGCTTTCCGCGATTTTGCATTTTGAGATATGGATATGAAAATCGTATTAGTGTATGTCTCTAGTAGTGACCGAAACTTTTTTTGGTTTTATTGTCCTGTTATACGGACATCCTTTTTGATTTATCAGATATCTGTAATTTGATTTTTACTAAGCCATAATAATTCTAATGTTTTATTGACTATTAACATATCACTAATGATTTTAATACCATGATCATCAATTAAATTTGAATTTAAATTAATGAAAGTTAGAGTTTTATTTACTGGTAAATATTGTATACTATCCATTACTGCTAATGTCCAATAAGATTTTATTGTTGTATTTAATTTTAATGTTTGACATAGATATTGAACACCTACAGATGTAATTTGATTATTAGATAAATCTACATAACTCCAATTTGTTGATGTACGTTTTTTTAATTCTTGTGTTATTTGTTTTACTTGTTGATCATTAATTTGTTTATTCCATAGATAGAGACCAAGTTTAGTTTTAGATTTATTAATCAATTCTTCTAGTGTTTCATTTTTATTAATTTCTTGTTCATTTGATGGTGTTGATATATCCGCTTCTTCATCTATGGAAAATAATGATAAACGTTGATGATAACTTGCACGTTTTGCTGTTGCGTCAACTGTATCATCATGTTCTGTACTCATTGCTCTATTCTGACTATGTTATTTTTTGTGTTATGAAGAAATCGAATCGAAAAAATAATATTCTTTTCTTTGTTGGTTTCTTTTTTTGAAGCAATTAAAAATAAACTCAAAATATTCATGTAAATTAGTGTTTATCCGCTTTAAATTTTTACACACTCCTTTTTTTGTCCTATTTTTATTGTCACGCAAGTAAAAACATTAATGAAAAATTGAACAACAAGATTTGAAAAAAGTTTTTTTTTCTTCACGTTAAATACTCAATCAAATTAATTAATAGACCAAAATTTGTTTTTTGTCAAAATTTCTCATTAGCAGATTACTGAGAATGAAATTATGTATTAAGGTTCCCATGTATTAAGGTGGTCTTGTCAACATGTTTTAAGGTGATATCTATCGGCGTTCAGCAGATGTGGGGTAAAATGATGCATTTATCCATTAGATTAAGTGATCGAGAGTCCGGATTGGTTTTAAAGTTGACAAAATGAGCCAGATTTTTATACTTTTCCAAATAAATTTTACATGAGCAATTTTCTTTACTAACTCAAAATCCTTTTGAGAAAAATCCAAATATCAAAAATTCAAAAGCCTAAAGAAAAAAACTGACTCCTGTACGTATTTGTCGTGATTGTTGCGTTTAATTGACCAAATCGGACTCTCCAGCACTGGAAAACCAGTTTTTCAGAATCTCTAAAGGATAATTAAAACCTTTCTTAATGAGACATAATTGTAGTCCGTAAATTTTTCATTAAAATGAGACGTCTTCCAGCTCTGCACAACCCTTCTTTGCAAAGTTATAGAATTTACAAGAAAAGCCCTAAATTCTCAGAGCTACAGACAAAAGAAGAAATTAATTTAGGGCTTTTTTCTTGTAAATTGTACAACTTTGCAAAGAAAGGTCGTGTTGAGCTGGGAGATGTCTCATTTTAACCAGAAATTTGCGGGCTACAATTAAGTCTCATTAAGAAAAGTTTTGGTTATTTTTTAGAGTTTCTGAAAAACTGATGTTCCAGAAAATCGTATCTTCGAACGACCATGGACAACTCTCATAATCATATTCGGAATTAGCATGGTCGATAACCTATAACCCACTAGATTTCGATCAAAAAGCGATTTATAACCTCGAAAGGTTCTCTCGTGTGTCTGACAAATAAATCTTTTAATTGATGTTTAGGAAAAACATCATATCCAGAAAAATGAGACGCTTCTGTATAAGGCTTCTTTGGTGCTTTTCATAAATGTCTCATAATTTTTATTGTAAAATTTTCTCCAAAGACGTCTAAGAGACGTTTCATTTTGATCAGAAATATCTGCTCTACCAATCGGGATCGTCAGAAATCGTTTTACTTTCCTCTCTTTATATAAAAACAGTAGTACGTTTCATAGGACATAAATATCTTACATAAAGTAGCATATTCAAATGGTCTACATTCAATGCTCTATCGGAAAATCGAGCTAAAGGTCAGTTCTCTCTCAACGATACAGGTGACTTTTAGGAATCAGTTAGAACAGATCCACTGCTATAATTTTTGAAGATTGCATTTTGATTAGGCGAAATTGTTATGCTGAGCGAATGATCTGTTACACGATCAAAAAGTGAATACTATTGGTAAACGAGATGCATTTTTGTCGGTTTCATCTTTTATTTTGTGATCATTGGAAAAAGTACATTTTTGATTACCATAACTTTCAAAAACTGCACATATTCGAATATTCTAAACTCATGTTGTCTATTTTCAGAATTATTTTTTAACATATTTCAGCGATTCCGTGTTAATGAGACGGATAACAGCGAATAACTCGTGTTTTTTTTTCTTTTTCTTATCCCATATTGTCCTGCAAATACTCAACAGCCGAGAATATTGGACTGACGTCAACGGGAATTGTCTTTAATTTATTTAAAATAATTTTGGTATAATCACGAGTATTTCCCCACCGATCTAATGATTCTTGAGCAAGTTCTTTATTTCCATCACCTTGTAATTTTAATATATGTGTTGTTAAATTTTTAACAGCTTGTGTTATATGTTCAAAATTAACTCGAAATCGTTGTGTCTGACTGTTATATTCAAAACCCTTTTGATCAATTAGATAATTTAGTTGTAATGCTTGACCTCGTCCGTGTGAGTCCTCAAGTCCAAAACGAATTGATCGAAATCCACCTGCCAAAAACTAGAAACTTTTGTAAATTAGTTCATATACAGCACTGACAAAAAGTAGGCTAATAGAAACAACATATTATATATTCTCACTAGGAAACATTTTCAGGTGTCCATCTCTAATTTCAATGATAGTTTGCTGCTGAATAGGGTATAGTGAGATAGTGAAAATTCTAAAAGAATTTGTGCCCGTATTGCTTTTCCTAAAGTGAAACTGTAAGTTTTCTCTATGGAAGAATTTGTGACTCAGGCAGAACAAGTTACAGAGGGCTGAAAACTTTTTCTATAACTCCTCTATCCATCTTTGATATCCACAAAAAATTTCAGCGTTTCACCTTGGTACGTTCTCGACTTGTTGAACTTCTAAGTTTTCCATAGATTCGCCCTAGGGTGCGCTTTTAATAAAACAGCCATAAAACAGTTAATTCTTTACTCAAATTGTTGAAACTTTCAGAACTAAGATGATTTCGAGTGATAAAAACGCTGGAATAATCGAAATGCTACAACTTCGCTGTTCACATCTCAGGTTATCTAGGAGGTCTCTCAAAACCCTCTAATCGGAAATCGGCTGAAACCGAACCTTTTCATTTTTTGACCCAATAGTTCTGAGATTTTCAACAATTTGAATAAAGAATTAACGGTTTTATCCCTGTTTCATTCAAAGCGCATCCCGGGGTGAATCTATGGAAAACTTAGAAATTCAATAGGACGAAAACGAACCAGGCTAAAATGCTGAAATTTTTGTGGATATCAAAGACGCATAGAAGAGTTATAGAAAATATTTTCAGTTGAAAAAGCTTTTAGCAAAAAGTCATTGAAATCGGAGGTGGGCATCTGAAAGCGTTCCCTCATCAGTCTATGGAAACGTCTTACTGTGACATAAAAATTTTCCAAGGATATATGCAAAATTTGCCCCTTTTGTACAAAATAATGTGCAGCAAATAAACCAGTTATGTCTAAACGAGAAAACTAACTATTGTAAATGTATGTAATCAAGTGAAAAAATCCTTTACTCTTCTAATATTTGAAATACCTGCTTTAGCTTCTTCGATTGCACTATGATATTGTTGAAGTTGCTCTCGAACAGTGGTAGAATTAGGTCCAATTGTTGAATGTGGACCATTTGAATGTGCTACTTCATGTAAGAGAATATGTGTGAAAAATGCGTCCCATGAAACGTACTGTAGTTGATCTTCATCCAACACAATTTCGGCTATCGGTTTCAAAATATATTTGAATTTTGCTTAAACAAAACCAAAAAAACGATGTATAATCAGGACTGTCGCGACCAGTCAGACTTTGAAGGGTGCTTCACTGACGAGGGAACCTCTTGAGGCTATAAATCGCTTTTGAACTCGGACTAGTTGTATCTTGTAGACCTCAGTGAGTAGTGAAATACCCTAAGATGGTTCATCCCCATGGTGCTTTGTTGCTCAGATATTGAATTTTTAGTCAGTTTTTACCTATAGAGCTTGGGTTTCGAGCAAAATCCGACTTTCGAATTTTGACTTGAAACTTGCCACACTGGTAGCCCATGGTCATAGTAGTACGATGGGAAAAAATTCGATCCTAATGAATTTTCCTGCCTTGATATATTGAGACTCGAATATTTCATCTGAAGGTGAGGGTGAGGGTCAGATGTTCGAGTCCCAATATCTCAAGGCAGGAAAATTCAT